ACTTCTGCCAGAAGGTTAGTCCTTCCCGGTGGTAGCTGCCATACCGATCGATTGCCATTGCTCCGAAACGTCTGATATGCTCATCTCAAACTGCGGGCGTCATGAAAGAGACAGACCGGCAGTGCTGCTCTCCAGGTCTCTAAAGCCGGGAAGACATGATTGAGGACATCATCACACCCCTCTAGCCACTTGACAAGTCGCCTGAGACTGAGCCACTGTAGATTTGAAGCTTGCACTTGTTTTCAGAAATTTTACTTTGTTTTCTGTAAAGCAAACAAACGTCTTCGTATGAAAAGCAATAAACCGATTAGTGCATATATACTGTGCACAGAGTGAACTGGAGCCACTGTATATGCACACCTGATAATCTGACCCTTATTAAATTCACTGTTTAATATCAGACAGACTGCTGGACAATACAGTTACGAAGGAAACCTCTCTCTCAAACCCTTAACTGCTGTCATTCATCAACATCTTTATCCACAACTTTTGAGGCACAAGGCACAGAAAAGCCAAGTTAACTGTCAAGTAGGTTTCAATTCATGCACCACTTTATGCCACTAACATTTCAAACTCTAAGTCACATTCGATACCAGATATGAGGATATGATTTTACCTCGGTCTCAAACCTGCATTGCCATTCTGATGGCTCATTCTGAGAAAGCCAATATAGAAACCACAGGGATAGATTCAGCCGTTGCTAATGAAACACTGGGCGTTGTTTGTCCTCCAATGGCTCTCAGTCTGTGGTTTCTGCTCCGTTTTCAGAAAGCTAGAGAGTAACCTTACGTGCATTTGTGCTATACATATCTGTATGTCCATAAGTGCATGCCTGTATAATGGCTACTGTATTTATACATCTGTTGGTCTATGTTAACCTTCAACAAATTGACCCGTTTATCAATTACCACATCCTTTCTCTGAAATCGACAATCGACAACTGCTTGTTAGCTACCTCACCTGCATACATGCCAGGGCCACAAACGTGATACCCAGTAGTTCTTCACTTCCCGTTCTGAAGTCAGTTTTAATAACTTCCAAGAGCCTTTTTCACCCGCCACTGTCCTTTCAAGTTCCTCCCAAAGCGTTTCAATCTGTTTTGGTTCAAAAAGCACTGTGTACACTGCATGTGCGTTTTAAAGCCTGTTCCTTTTTCTGATTTAGGTCATTTCGGAGTACTCTGACTTTCAGACTAAGGGCCTATGTCATTGTGCAGGCTGCCTTCCTGAATTCACTAGCTAGTTCTGAAGAACGGAAAGAAGGCTGGGCTCCTAAAAACGACACTGCTGTTTCTACCACCTGGACCTTGTC